CAGCGACAGACGTAATGGCTTGGTCACGCTACGTGTCACATTTGCGCGACACGTGTGGACCCCTCGAGTGGCAGCAAATCACCGCGCGTCAGACCTTTCCCTCGTCGGGTTTTCCCTAATTGTAAAGCAAAATTAGTATTTGTTAAGGCCGGTATGTCTTTTTCTCCCGCGCTGACAATGACACCGAAGAGAGAAAAGGGAAGGAGCTCATACATCAAACACACCGTCCGTCTTCATCGATTAGACGAATATAAAAGCGATAGTTATGTTGTCAAACTCTTCATTTTCTTATGGCTCAAGGAAGAGTGACGCCAGATAAGCAACATGGCGTAATTAATTGATCACACTTTTAACGGTGACCACATACGCTAAATTGTCAGGTCTACATGCCCTTAGGTTATGCAGCTTAGTAGCTATTTTAATGGGGGGTTTCGGTCGTCCTTGAGCAGCACGAGTTGTCCTTCTTCAAGGTTGTCTGTGTAATTTTCCTAGCTCCTGGAGATATTGCAGATAATTGGTAGACTATTGCTTCCAGAACTGGTTCTGCATTCGCTGGATCAGTTGATAATGATTTAGTTGATTATCCGGTACGTTCGATGGTTTCTCGTCGGGAATGGCAGCTAATGTGTCGCCTATGAACAAGTGCGCTGGAGTTAGCGCTTTCAAGTTGGTCGGATCAGTCATCAACGAATGTAGTGATCGTGAGTTTAGACATGCTTCAATTTCGATCATGACGGTGGAGAGTTCCACAATGCTAAAGCGTGCCCATTGATGGCTCGTTTCGTCAAATCTTTCGCTGAATTTACGTCCCCGCCCCTCCCCCCGCCCGCAGGTAGCAAGAGTAGCATAGTCATTGCGTAGAAGTCTCCTTCAAATCGACATCAGTGCCTTGAAACTTAGTAGCGTTATCTCTGTATAGATTCCTGCAATTCCTAAACAGCCCACTATACGGTGGAAGGTAACAATGAAAGCGTAGGAAGTGACCCACTGATAATGAATACATACAACATTGACATTAATAAATGCGTTCTTATTTATTGACTTGATAGTAATAGAATGGTGTACTTGTCCGACAATCACAACAAATATTACGTTACCAGTACTGAGCTAGCCAGCGTTCATGCAATTCGAACAACAATGGATCGTCCTAGCCAGTTTTTACAATTCACAGGTCCTGCATTGACATATTTGCCATCACCATGACCATGACCATGCAGTATCGGAGAGAACTGACCTTTTTGTTACCGGTTTATTCGACTCATCTAATCTAGCAGCTTTGAATTTAAATTCATCGACAGTCGGATCCCACAACACACCGAGTGTTTTAACAGTACTATTGCGATCAATTGTCTTTATGGGCTCCGACTCGTTCGTCTGCGCGTATGTAGGTAACAATTCAGAATATCCACGGCCCACATGTCTAGTTCAATGCCAGCTGACTTCAATAGTTCAATGAGTTCACGTATCTCTGTCACCGTAGTCGGCAGTTTGTCAGCTTCGAAAAAAGTGTCGTCAACGTATGTAATTACAGTTAGAAATTCAGCGCCCATAGGAAAGGACGAACTCCCTTCAGCAGCAAGTTACGTACAAGTGTGTGTATAGCTAGATAGAGAGCACAAGTCGTATCGTATATCACCGTGCTTAAGCAATAATCGATTGGAGCTTCGGGGGGTCAAAGTATACGTTGCAAATCCTGATCTTGAGATGCGACTCGTATTTACCTGAACATTTTACATCAGCCGTAAAGACGTAAAAGTAGCGACGCCAAATCGAGATCGCATTGCAGAAGTGGCCCTGACACCAAAACATCGTTCAGACAATGTTGCTCTTGAGCCCGACAAGAATACCTTTGGATTGTTTAATCGCGAACTCTCTATGTGAATAGTCAATAGTCAAAATTATAACATCATCTGTTCGATAATATTTTGGTATTTGGCGGTGCCTTTGTTAAGGTCTCAGTTTTATTTTTTAAAGTGCTAGTATTTCACTATTCATTGCTTTTTTCAGGCCTCTGAATTCGTACTATTATTCGTTTAGTTATAATTATACGGTTCATTGGAATCATCAATAACAAGTTCATCAGTGTTTTCAGAATCAAATGAGAAATTAACTGTATTTCCCCGGTATGATGGCTGAATATTTCGACGGTTTCGCAGAATGTACCTCGGTTCATTGATTAATTCTACGTATTCTCTTCCATCTTGTGTATCGTTGTTTACATTTTCAATATTATTTTCAAAATTATTACGCTTCATATGTTCAAAATTTGGTTCAATATAATTCCACTGGAATTAGCTTAAAAAATTTGGAAAATGTGGATATGAGGCAACAGGGCTAATTATTGTTGGGATCGCTCAAGAATATCGTGATAATGATGTATTTATACTGGCGTATCTGATTTCCTATTGCTTTTTTTATTAATGTTGATAGCTAAAAAGAGTAAAAAATGATCATTTTTTCCATTCATTTTCTTAATTAACACCGAAATATCGTTTTTGAGATAAATATTCACAGAAATAAAGTTATAGAGTGAAAAATTTACTATCGGATAGTGGCATGAAAAATTAGCAATATTCGATTTCCCGCAACAATAGAGAATGAACAAACAAATAAAAAAGTCGAAAAAACAACTAGTTTTCGAACGTGGTGTTTCAATTTAGCTTATTAAAGGATCATATTGATTATTTGTTGTCACAAAATTTCAATCTTTTATAAATCGAACGAAAAAAAATTGAGATTGAAATTTTTTTTACTGCTGACTAGCGTAATTGTTTATTAAGTTAAAGTTAAAATAATACGCAATATAAATAGTAATATCGTGGGAAAACCATAAGATTGACAAAGACGCCAATTTTTTCACGTATGCTATGAATGGTCAAATATCATAAGCATTAATTTAATTGGTAATTTTTTATTATCAATCAGCCAAAATAATTTTTCTTAAATGTATCACAATTTTTTGCTTAATAACAATAGCAATATTTCCGCCATTTTTCGGTTAATGAATTATTTGATAATGAGACACAATCGTACGCGAATGAAAGTGATTTTGATAATGGTCCTACGCAATTGAAGCGAGTAAAATGTGTATAATGTGTGCTTTAATTTGTTAGATTTAATTTATAATATATATCAACATATTGTAAAAATGTTACGCTGTAAAAGCAATTCTTATTGATTGCATGAATTGTGTATAAATATCGTATCATTTATTAAAATTTACATATAGATAATTTAAATTTTTTATTTTACATAACAAGCGTTTTATTGTATTTAGCATAAAAAATATTCAAATATTCCTGAAATATTAACAACCCTTAATTGCCAAGTAAGCCAATAAAAAAGTGAGTAATTTTCCAGAAAAATTGACTTTTTAGTATAATTTTCTAAAAATATACTCTTAATGACAATATCTATTGTCATTTTATACAATACGATTAAATTCCACATAAAAATTGAAAGATAAACAATAAAAATCTTTCAATTATTTATAAATATAACATTATTTTACGTAAAATTATTTTTGCAGAAAAAATTGGCGTCTTTGTCAATCTTATGGTTTTCCTACGATATTATTATTTATAGTGCGTATTATTTTAGCTTTAACTTAATAAACAATTACGCTAGTTAGCAGTAAAAATATATTTCGATTTATAAAATATTGAAGTTTTGTAACAACAAATAATCAATATGATCCTTTAATAAGCTAAATTGAAACATCACGTTCGAAAACTAGCTGTTTCTTCGACTCTTTTATTTGTTTGTTCATTCTCTATTGTTGCGGGAAATCGAATTTTGCTGATTTGTATGGCACTATCCGATAGCAAATTTTTCACTCTACAACTTTATTTCTATGAATATTTACCTCAAAAACGATATTTCAAGTGTAAATTAAGAAAATGAATGGAAAAAATGGTCATTTTTCGCTCTTTTTAGCTATACACATTAATAAAAAAAAAGCAATAGGAAATCCGATACGCCAGTATAAATCATTATGACGATATTCTTAAACGATCCCAACAATAATTAGCCCTGTTGCTCTCACATCCATGTTGAGGCACATCCCTACTGGACATCGATATATAGGTCAAGGTTCAATACATTGAATTTGAGATATTCTATAATATTCCTAATAGTATTGATAAAATTTGGGATTATATAAATTATATTTTCAGAATATTATCCAATGAGGGTAACGAATTTTCAGTTCAGCGATGCTAAAAATATATTTCTAATCGAAACCTCTTCCAAATTATAGATCTACATCAATCTTACTTTATTAATAGTTGTTACCGAGTGATTATTTAATATTAAAGAGCCAAAGTGAAGAGATTTCATTATTTTAATCACTATAATACAAATAAGAACCGTTGGTTCTAGATGTTTTATCGTTTGCTAAAAAATCGATCACAACCATTGATTAAGGAGTGGCCATGTCATACTTAATTCTTATTTATTTAGATTAAATATTGTAAAATTTGTTATATGGAGATGCGGTAAAATAAGAAGATGTAGATCATAGACATGGGACTGTGAATTACTAATAATAAAGAGAGATCAAATGATTTAGAAGCTCCATAGATTTATAAATATATTAAAATCATGTGCTCTCTTCGTTCAAGTGCAAGCGTCTGCATGAGATTCAAATCACTTCGTTGCACTAGTATTGTAATGTACTAATTCAATTGAATGTGGAAATAATAGAATGGACTTCGAACAAACTGATTTCATTTATGTTGATATATTTACGCATTAAAGTCAATGTAAAATAATTTTGAATGACAATAATTCTGTTTTTAAATTTTGTCTTTTTATTATTTTCTGTACATGTACAACGTTAAAATATGCGTTAGATTTTTCAATGATCAGATGAAATATATAAATAGCTATTAAACTATAATGAATATATTAAAGTTATACATATATAAATATTTAAAATTACAATTTAAAAATTTTTATTAATACAGTTTTATATAACAACTAAAATAATAAGTTTGCGATTCAATAAAAATTAACAGTCATGTAATAGTTCTAATATTCATGTTAGATCAGTTTACAATGAGTACTATGATATTTAAATAAAGAAAAAGAATTTCCCGAAAATATATTAAATTATTTATTAATCATATTTTTAAATTTACATTTGTTAGAAGATGTTGAAACATCGTGATAGCGTAATCGTATGAAAATGAATCAATATTTAAGAAAAGTCGGAAACAAATATTCTAATGAAACTACAACTATTCAATGAATTTGATAATTAAAATTTACATGAGATGTTTCATTGTGAAACCATTCATTCGATATCGTGCTATGATTTCGCATATTTACTTGTCCTTACAATATTGATATTTTCCATTACAATCACGTTTAAATAAAATAGTATTTTATGCCAATAGTAGGTCTATTATTTTATACATAGCAGTTGTTGTTTATAACAGTTGTGTAATAACTCTGTAAAATATCATCCCATAAAATTTGTAAGCATGCCAAAATTGATAAATATTCCTATATTTGCTTACTTGATAATAAATACAAGAAATAATTTGTATTAGTTATTCTATATTATAAAATAAACCCTTTCAATACTCATTAAACATGTATTATATATCACTATTAATAATTTTAAACTTAAATTATAGATTTTTAATTTTTCAATTACATCCTTATACAACATTCAATTTATTTAACCCATTTGTTTTTCGAAATTCATACCGATATCACTAACAAATAAGATATAAAAGAACAAAGTTTCAGAAATTATACTTATTACTATTATATGGAATGTTCAAATCAATATCGGAACTTTCTCTTTTTATTTATTCTAAGTCTTGTCAGAATAGTTATTAGCTAGCGACAACAGCTATTCTAACAAGACAGTGCCACTCATTGTGCTTATTTTTCTGAAGAGGTTGATAAATAAGCAAGCGAAATGTCAGCTAATGTCTAACTAATCCCAATTATTACCTCTGAAATTAAGTAAAAAGAAAATCCAAAAAATGAAGCAAGCATAGGTGAGATAATAAATACTAATTAAATCAGAACTTTATCTTTCTATTTTATTTCTAAGTAAAATAAGTAGTAAAATAACTTGACGCGAATATACAAAGTAAATCCATAATAAAAATCTATGAAGTATTCTGCTAATCTATCAATATTTGTAAATTTACTTGAAACAAGTTTTTGTTTGAAAATAATGTTTTCTTACTTGGTTCTTATGATATTGAGTTCCAGATATTCCAGAGTTTTTAAGTATTAGCCTGTTCATAAAGGTAATTTCATACATACTGCTTTATAGATTTGTATACATATTTTTACTTTTTATATGTACAATACGTCATAAAACAATTTATTCCCAATTTTCATACGTTTTTAATTTTCATCTTTTTATCTGACAATGTTAATACCAACAATATTATTATTTCTTAGCGTAAAAGGTGCTTTAATTTTGAAATACAAAATTTATTTCGTGGCAAAACAATTTTATGAATTAATTCATCTTGTTGGTTTAATGAAACATTTATCAAAAAATAATTAAGACTAAATTTCTTTTGAGATACTTTTTAAAGAATAATTTTAGATAACATGCAAATGCCTTTATAATAATAGTTAACCAATTAAATACTATTAATTCTTAATTTGCATACGTATCCAAATAAGTTTATCACAATTTTTAACATTAATCATAATATACTTATTCAGAATAATTATTTGCATGCTTTTTCATTTAATTTAAAAATTTCAGTAACAATACTAACTCAATAACGTAAAAACTTATGATGCATTATACTGTTATAGACAAATAATCGATATTAAATTTTTTGTAATTGTGAACCACCTTAATTCATGAAGAGTATATCTTCATTTTTATTGCAATAAACAACAATAAACTATGCATTGGTAAAATTATTATTTCAATTTCCATTAATTAAACATATATAATGTTCTAAAATTCATTTTTTGAATACTACATTACAAAAATCATGATAACAAGTAGTCTCCATTTAATCGTCGTATTTTTTTAGTTTTAAAATTAATTAAAGGATTTTCAGTTGCAGTTGCAAAATCCGCGAATGGCATTTTTCCAATATACTTTGACAGTATGACCCACGGTCGAATTTTACAATCATAACTTTAAAAAATATAATTGGAAAACATTTGATGAATATTGTAAACAGAAAAAAAATATTTATTATAGAAACAAATTATTTCAGAAAATATTTAATATTTCAGTTAAGTACAGCTTTCCTTGAATTTAAAATTCTATTCGGCATTCGAGTTCCTTGTTACTTTTTGCATGTTTGGTACAGCAGTTGACGATTCAATTTCTTTGTGAATTGTTGAATTCTTTATACTGACGTTAAGTTCCAACTGTAAATAAAAAATATTTTAATCAACGTGAATTGTTCGAAGAGTAAAGAAACCGATATAAAGACAAAACTAGAATCATGAATTATTCACACAAATTGTAATTTGTTTAACTTATCGATTGATTTAAGTGCTTTTATGTAAATATTAATATTTATAAATCATTCTTTTAATTGGATAGAAAATTTGATTTTTAATCTAGATTTTGATAAAAAGAAAATAAAAGGAAAGAAAAATACCAATCACAATTATTAAAAAAATATAAAGTATACATTGTGTTAGCAATCGATACTTTATTTTCCTTGTATTTCAGTTTTGAGTAAACAGCATAAATGTTCTAAGTTCATAAGTATTCTAAGTAATAATTACTATGATGCGTACATACCAAAACAGGCTCTTCTTGGCGGCCTCTTAAGCTTTCTAATTGATTTTGAAGTACGTCAACTTTTACTGTATTAGCGGTAATAGCAGTCCCGTTAAGGCCTGTATTTTTCTTCCAGATATTCATTCTCATTTGATTAATGGGCAAGTCAGGATCCTCAGAGCCTGGGCCGTTCTCATTGGTCTGTTCAATTTCTTCGATATTGTTCTTCCTCCATTGGTTTCCATATTTTGGTGCGGAAACAGCTGACACAGCTATGAACGCATTTTTACTTGGTTTATCCGAGGTAGGCTGAGCCGTGACTTTGTGATAAGCAAACTGTTTCCATTTTGTTGGCCAGGTGTTGCTTGCTGTTTTGGCTGGATTCCACTCGTCGGGTATTTTCTCTCTACCCCAAACGTGCTCGTTGTTCGACGATGAAGATAAGTTCTCGTTATTCCAGCGTGAGCTTGAATCTTCATAACTTGCATGAAGCTTTATGTTATTGAACCATGTTGTTTGTTGTTCGTCGGGTTCCATCCACGAGTTTAGCTTCGATGACAATTGAGGCGACTTATTGTTTTGTATATTCTGCTGCTTTAAATCTCTCAATGCGTCCTTGTCTGGCCTTGGCCTTCCGTTCTTATAAAGACCTAATTTACGAAGCAGCTCCGCGTTTGGATTATAAGATTTTCCGTTTTCGTCCTTAGGCCAAGGTTTTGCTCCAGGCAATTTAAACGGCCATGTGGCTGGATCTGAAGTTAAGCTGTTCCACGTTTTCATAGTAAGCTTGGGAGATTCTTTCGAATAATCATCTGATTTTGATCGATCGTCGTTCTTTAATTCGGAGTTCTTGTTGAGATTGTTACCCCAAATGTCTTCGTCTTGCTCTCTGTAAATCCCTTGTGGCCTCATCTGATCGGTTTTTGACATCAGACGATGAAGTTCTTTCTCTTCCAGCCAAGGTGGTAAGCTTTCCTAGAGTTTTAAAAATTTCAATTGAAAGTCAGTAGCTACGTACTATTTTTTTCTTTTGTATTCAAGCTGCGAAGAAGAAAAATAGAATAAACGTAAACAGTCAAAACCGTACCCTGTGCCGATTCAAGTTCTGCAGGCGCTGACGTTGCTGCGTTTGATGCCAAGTTTTCAGTGCCTCTTCTTGTTCCTGCTGCTCTAGTTTTGCGTAGTATTCACGCTCGGCATCCCAGGATAGCCAGGGTTTGGCGACCTGTCCCCAGTTCCATCCAGTTCTTGATCCCGGCCACCAATTTGCCGAATTACTTCTATCTGTTGCGAAATCTCGTTCAGCTGCTAAGTACTCGTGATTCGATGTTAGGTCTGGCTGTTCCTCCGAGTACGTTGCTGCAAGTGGATAATTTTCATGCGACAACGACGAAGATATCAACTTGCCATAGTGATGAGCTCGCTGATTAGCATCGTACTCTGCAAAATTTCGAGGAAAAAATACAATTTTTTCCATTTTACATTGCTTTGAACAAGCTGTGTGCATGCGTGCATTTTTCTGAACGCTATGAAGGCTGTGGATTTTTCAGTATTTTCCTGACGTTCTATCTAAATAGACAACATTTTTATAATACAACGATTAATAACTCACCGGTGGTTGAATCCTTCGAAGAAGAAGCCTGCTGGTGCGTACGAATTTTGCCATAGTGTACCGTTCGAGGCTTCGAATATTCCCGAGCTGCCTTGAGCATCAATACTTGACGCTCGGAGTTTAGTGCTTTGAGGTTCTCGAGCTGCTTGTCGTCCAGTAGCCTGTGCATTGTGTGTGACTTTGATGACGTCGAACTGTGAATCTATTATAAAAATCAAATTTACTTTTACTGATCTCTCAATCACATCAACATCATTAGATTAATAAGTATTAACATTTTTTTAAATTGTAATACTTACTAACATATCATGGATAGTCAAAAGAATTATAATGATCATTAGATTACGTTTTAATATTAATAGACTAAAAATAATCAGTTCAGAAATTAATTAAAATATTATACGAAGAGTATGCAGATTCAATCTATATATCTCGTATGTCGATATATATGCAGAAGCAAGTTTAATTTATACTAATCAAATTTTAGAAAATTAAGAGCAGCCGACTATACTCGACCTGTGCTCTTCTTAAAATATTTAAATATTCAATTCAGAAAATTTTTATTATCTAATTTAACAATTGGATCTGTGTTAAATATTTATTATGTTAAATATATATATAAAATTTATTTAAAGAAAATTGTTGTTGATAAGCATCGTTTGATCATATATTTATATCGCATTGATAAATTAAAAAAAATTTTAAGAGTTCAACATTACCTTGTCAACTTCATCACCTCCGCTACTTTCCTGCGACCATGACGGTCCTAATAATCTTTCTGCGACAAGCCGCCATTTTGCCGCAGCAGGGGAAAGCGTGGTAAGCCAAGGTATTTCGGTTGTCGCAATCAACGATTCTACATTCGTGGTGGTTAGATGTTGTGGTTTCTTTTTCTTCTTCTTTTTCTTCTTCTTCGATTTCCTTGTCGGCTTCGGTGTTAACGTAGGTTCACGTGGTGTTAACGGTTTAACCATCTGCGATAGCCTCTTCTGTTCCTGTATCGCTTGTCGCGAATAGTCCATGTCGGCTCTGATGTCGGCTGCATTCACAAGAAAATGGATTCTTAATTTTACATACTGTATCTTTCAACAGATTATATACTTTTTGCAGTTTTGAAACTTCTAATAGTTTGACGGTTACAAGTCTAATTGTAAGATTTTTAATTCTAGAGGCCGGCAACCCCCACTTTTTCAGTTCATTCTGGTGTTGTGAACTGAGCTTTATATCTTCAAGATGAATGAAATTGTTTCATTTTTAATTAAATACTGCTACGTTATCAGCATTTCGTTAACTTAAAACTTTGAATTGTGTTATGATTTATCGGAATGAATTAATTAGTCTATGTTGAAAAAAGATGTAAATTTATGTCAAATAAGTGCAAAGAACAGTGATGCGATGCACGACATGAAATACGACTAGAGCTTAATGACCAAATTACTCAGCAGATATTGTTGTATATAAAAGACCAAGCGAGCAACGATGCAGCAGTACTACAAATCGTCATGCTGCCGGGCGATGTAACAACCTTTTGATAATAAACATTAGTACTCATAACATATAATTGTTCCCCATATTTTAAGAAAATATGCGCGTTCCGCTTCAATGTATCGTTATTAGTGTTCCCATATAATATTATGTCTCATGAGAGATTTAACAAAGATCCATAGTGAGAGTTCTAAAAAGTATATTAAAAATTTCTTTTATTAATTATGAAAGCTTTTAAAAAATCTCTAAAAAACTAAATATTTTCCTGTTAGAATATATAAGTTTGAATTACTTATGTGAACATAAAAGAAGAAGTTTTCATATTAAAAAGAAAGATTCTACAATAACCAATAAAAAATCTGTAAATACAACGAAACTAAAGCTGTATCAATTTTGCCTTGGAACTTCGTCAGAATAATTTCGATTGCAATGAGAATAATAATGCTGATGAAGTTAAATATATTTCGTATGCATAGTACGTATGAAACGTTGTATGACTAGTACATCGACGATATTGTAGAATAGCCCTAGCTTACTTACTCAAGAGTTGATGCACACGTTCCCAGCGTTGTGGATTCTCTGCGAGTTTCGACAGGAGTTTTAACAAGCTCTCCGTTGCCGAACCTTGTTCATCCTTAAGAAAAAAATAAATAAATAAATACCATTGAAAGTCTGTTAACATATGGCCGCGTAATGACCCATTGTGCTGCTTCAAAGCCATTTATTAAATAATAATGTTTTCGTTAATGCTGCTCTTTTTAAGAGAAAATCTGAAAGATTTATTTTGAAAAAATTAATTTGAAAAGATCTGTTTGAATAAATGTGTCTTTACAATTTGTACATCGAACTCAAGCTTATATCGCAGTTCAGCGACAGTGAAATATTTGCCAGAAGAAAAAGTAGGACAGCTTGTAGTAGAAAGATTTGTCAGAAAATTTTGGAGAATGTAGCAGAAGATGAAATGTATAAAGCAGCTCACGTAATAGCAAAGAAAGCAAGCAGCGCGACGGCGAGGGAAAAGCGAGTACGGCGCGCGTGCGGCAAACTTTATTCGCGCGAAATCGTTTCTGAGAGAACGATCAAACGTGGCTCTCGGTCGGAAACGGCGAAAAGATTTCCGGAGCTCGCGACGCTTCTGTTTGATCATCTGCTGCAGGTCGTGAGCGCGATCGGCTCTCGGGGCACGTCGCCGTCGCTCCCTTTGTCGCGGCTGCGACAGGCGCGTCATTTTTAGGCACACGCGCATACACGCGCGAGCCGAGCGACGACGCGGAAATTGCGCCCGCTCCCGGGACTCGATTCTTCTTCTTTGATTCCGCTGCGATCAACGCCTATATGCGCGTTTCACTCTTGGCTTAACCCGCGATCTTCCACTTCTCAAGGATATTGAGGATTCCCGCGACCGCCAATGCTCTTTGATAGACGAGGTGCGCCAGTCAATATCCGCCAATGGCCAGGCCTTTATCGCGATCATTCCGCTGATCAATTGCAATAGACGACTCACCGAAAATCTTATTAATCCCTTACTCGGTGAACCCTTTTACTAACTGATCAAGCACATCTCACTTATGAGGTTTTGAATGTTATAAAAACATACACAGTGTCAATTGCAAAATTTACGACAATTGTACTCACTAACTTTAATGAAAATTTCTATGCTGAAAATAATAAATTGAAAGTTGATGTTCAAAATAAAGCATGCAATTCAATAATACAAATGTAAATAGCGGTGCAATTACTGCTTCCAGTAGCACAAGACTGAAAAATCTAGTAAGCACTTAAACGTGAGTAAGTAACAAATGAAATTCAAAGTCATAATCGAGTTGACTTTTGAGCTTATGAGTATAGTGAAAAAATTGTATGAAAAGGTCAAAGTCGTTGGGGCGAACATTTGCGGTCCTAATTTTCCGAGAAACAGAATTATTTGCACCCGCTAGTGCCAAAGCAGTTCGCGGTTACGGACGCGCAGTAAAGCAAGAGAGCGGGAGAGAGAGAGAGAGAGTGCGAGAGAGAGAGGCATGCATGCCATCTGTTTTGTAGCTGGAGGAGGCGGCACGCCGCCAGGAAATTGCCGAGCGGAAAAGCAGGAAGTGCGGAGCTGCGTGTGCATGCGCAACCGATTAGTCGACTCGCGGAACGGAGATTACCCTGGATTCCTCACCCAACTCTCCAGCTCTAGTGGCTTTCATTCTACTTCTCTTCATCAACATTGCAATTTCTTTCGCTCACTTGTGTGACATTTATTTAACCTACTTTCTGGGTGCTTTTCAAGATTTGCATTTATCCGTGTACATTATACTTACGATTACATTTACGATCTATTGAAAAAGGAAAAAACTAGACGGATTTTAAAGTATCTATTTTTCAAACACATCACGTTTTGCGCTGTTATTCTTTCAGGTAATAGATTCCTTTTTTTCTAATAGAATAATTTTGGATATTACAAAAACTGATCTAATTCTAAAAAGCAATATCATGTATTTTTCTTTTGTTAACTTTAACTAAATCAGCGGCATCCTTCTCACAAAACAGTTTTCACGATAGTGCAAGGACTTCTACTTTTTGCCATCTTTATCTATACGAATGGTTTGACCGTAGCAGTGGACTTCTTTGTCCACACTTCTGAACTAATGCGCGCGATCTTCTTTCTGGCAAAAACACTGACTGTGCAGAAAGCTCGAATAGCGCAAGGAGCATCTTGTGTATAAGCGCGCGCGCACGTGTGTGTGAGTTCGAGGGGTCAGTGCTCCTTCAACTAACTCATGCGTCAAAGTCCCCTGGCGATGACGCTGATTAATTTGCCTGCTGATGTTGCGCAAACGTGCACCGAAAGATGCCATTCTATGAATAATATTATGTTTATGTCGTGATTAATTACCAATCGTGACCTTTAATCAATGCAGTTTACAAAACATGAATATCTACTTGGTAACATCGTACATATCTATTTAACTTTTTTTGTGTCATAGTCACCATTAAACATTCATATATGCAAAGTGTTCATAGCAAACGATAAAATTGCTTTTGAATACATTCAAACTTTGTGTTTCGAATGTTATTAATATATGCGACAAAAAATGACGGATTAATTAATTAAAACTGCGATCCACTAATCCAAACATCTTGCACCTAACCGCAAGACTGTTTAAAAAGTATGAAAAGAAATGCAAAGCGACTTCTTAATTTTTAGGCATCAAACATACGTATAGACCACGTGCGTACACAGCGAGATGAGAAATTACTTGGAAAGCATCCAACAAAGTTGTGGGGTCACGAGACTCTTTCTCCCTCTCTCTCTCTCTTTCTGTCTCTCTTTTCGCCGCTATAGTAGACTTTTTAATCTACATGTATGAGAAATAACGAAATATGTTTTTTGCTATCGCCGATAATATAATCCATATTTCTCAATTAAGCCATCGTCGCAGTCTAATAAAAAGTATACCTATTAAATACTCACGAAAGAATAATGATAATGTCACTTATTTTGCTTAAACTTTTTACGATCTTACTTAATTATCAAAACTATAACAGTACGCTACTATGCAATAAACGAAAATAATATTATTTGAAATAACACGGAAACGTTTAACAATTTCCTTGAATATATAATGCAGCTGTGCGCCTCGCTATAGTAGTAGTAACGATAATAGCCGGTGCAGGTTTAATCGCGAGATGAGAGCACAATAAGGGCTTGAGCTGAGGATAAATATATAGTATAAGCGAGTTAGGCTGCACTCACCCAGAGCTGTTGACGTTTGAGCCGCTCGTCGAGTAGATAGGCCTTAAGATCCGTAAGTAGGCTGTCCTGCCTTTTGTTCAGTTTCTTCAGTGCGTCTTTGGCTCTCGGTACTGAGTACATCGGCACTACAGGCACTGACTCTTTGTACATTTTCTTCTCTCTGTCCTCGTTTTCCGTCTCCTGCAACTGTCGAACATCACCACAGTTTCATTACTCGCGAAACTCTTGTTTGAGCGACTTTACTTTTGACATCGTTATTATGTTTATGGCAAGACTTTAATTAAAAATATACTCCAAACGAGTGAGAATCAATGCTTCGATATTTTAATTCAGTCTTGCAAAAATTACTCAAGACAAACTTTCTCATGAACTTTGTTGAAACACAAACAAGGTGTATTTACATTTGGAAACCTCGACAGGACTTATGTGCAAGTTTCATTCCAATTCCTGTTTCTAGTGTTATTTGTTCATTATTGAAATGTTAATGCCTCTTTGATTTCTATGCTTGCATCCAAAATTGTATAACACATGGAATCTAAATAACAATGTTGATGGTCCCGTTATTAATAACATTTTATCACTGATGATTTATTAAGAATTCCTAATATATTTTATTAAATCACTGTTAGCGAGGAAAACAATAACACTACATTTAATCGTTGTTAATTAAATTATTGCACATAAATTGCTTTATTTCCAAATTAGAATCAATAAACTAGTTAGGTTGAAGAAAATGAAACGAATAGATAGTATTCAAGAGAGAGAGGGAGATAACTATTTCAAATTTAATTGGAGAAATGGAATTGCACATCGGAATATCTGTAATTTATATCCATGCGCAAAATACAGACCGGTTTAAATGTAGTTAGTATTGAATTTCGAATTTTCGATTTCTGTTGATATTGAAATATGAAATTAGAGAACGTTTGGAATGTAATCAATGTTTGTAATTTGCTCACGAAGCGCAGCTAATCATATATAATAATTTATATGCGAATTCAAGAAGAAAACAAGAAAACTATTTATAAAATATCTGAATAGTTTAATGATATTCTGTTTCACAGGTAGAGGAATGTTACATGAATAACGAATGACTTCTTCACTGGGCAAAACTCTGTATACCCCTCCCCTTCTACAGGCATACCTCATTCGAAAGTTCATTTGGCAGCTGAGCAACGTCATCAAGCAGCGCCTCGTTACGGACTGGGCGGTCGAGCTGCAGTCGCGTCTCATTTTCAGCAATGAAAATCTCCTTTTGCGAGCTCAGCTCTTTTTTCACGGACGACTCGCGTTTATCCTTTGACGCTTTTTCCTCATCGGTGGATGACTTTTTTCTCCGCCTATGCTCGCGCAATTCTCTCACCTGCGCAAAAATTCAAGCAAAAATTCAAGACATTAATTATGCCTCGAGCGCGCGCGCAAATTTCTATTAAAGCTTAATGGCGTAGTTTTCCTTTAAGTTTTATGATCAGAGAAAATAACGTCCACGATAACTTGTTCATCAGTCGGGTTTCGTGAAAATTGAGAACGTCGTTCATAAGCAAGCATCGACGGCGGGGAGGAATGAAAACTTAACGGACCTGTAGCGGCGATCTCGCACGTCGCTTTTTTCATTGCACGCGCAAAGAGGGAGGGAGAAAGAGAGGGAGAGAGAGAGAAAAGTATCGCCAGCGTAAAAGCGCGATTTAAGGGAGTCGTTAACGTCTAAAGAAGAGGCCTGGCACGAGGTAGTAATTTTCCTCTTCACTTAATAACCTCGCCCACGCGAAAGCATGCTGTCCTGAACGTGTGCTATCTTTTACCTGTTTTATGCGGCGCACACACCTTTACACATTCGCTTTGTCTAAACGATAAACCCTCCATTCTTTATCATTCATTTTGTTTTTATAGGAAATTATGTGAAACGTTCTAAATATGCATTTTATTATCAATCTTCAAACAACTTTTACAGAGTTTTCAAACTGTGTTCAATAATTTTTTAAACTTTTATTCGTTTAATTATTAAAGTGGTTATTTATTTATTTTTTATTTAAGCAAATTGAACACTATTGGGTTATTTTGCTGGTTATTTAGTTAAAATGTAATAAAAAACTTTGTCTTGCTAACTTATATCATTGTCGTTTATGTAGCAAAACAATTTCAATAATATTCACTTATGCATATGTGCTTTCGTTTAATTTATTGGTAATTCATCAAATTTGTATATAAAAATGTATTTGTAATAAGCTATTATAGTATTTTTTTAATTTTTTTGAAACAACGAATTCACTTGAATTTTGATTTTTTAACGAAAAACAGCCATATTGAATAAGGAAACATAGTCTTTCTAGAAAATCAAATAATGAATTAGTACCAAAGACAACCGTGAACTTACCTGTTTACGAGACTCTGTTGGGGACGCGAGGTTTGCGATTGATTCGTCGCTATTTACTTTGCCAGCTGCAGCTCGTAGTTCTCCAGCATATTCGTCCTCTTCGGCTACGCTGCCCTCGTCCTCCCCATCCTCCTCAGCGCTGTCCTCGTCGTCTTCTTCAGTGCTGTTACCGCCACCGCTGTCGTTATCTTCGTCCTCATCGTCTTTCTCCAATGAGTCCTCGATTTCTTCCGAACTACCGACTTGGGAAGTAGTTGGACTCTTCGTGGTGTTCGATTGCGGAACTTCCTGTGCATTTGTCGAATGTTGGCAAAGTCGTTAATTGAAGTGGTCTCGTTGGAAGAGCTGATTCAGAGCCCAAGTATTCAATGACGTTTTTTTTTTATTTATATCAATGATTCCAGTTACTTGCCTAATCGAGTTAGTTGATGTTTCTTTCATTTTACGGATTAAAAAGCTTTTATTTTGTGTTATTCATATATGAACTGGAATAATCGAGGTAAATCTGAAGTTATGTTTGACAGTGAAATTTATAAATTCAGCTAATACCAAATTGATCACCATTGTTGATAATAACCGAATTATATTTGTAGCAGTGTATGTAACATTTTTCTCGTAGTAATCACAATAATAAAAGTCAATGTATGCAGTATACAAATAAACTCTTAAGAAATTTCAGTGATACAGCAGTATATAGAGGCAAACATTAAGCCAAGTTGACCAACCAATTAATTGGTATACCAAGCTTAAAGAGCATTCAAATAGAACTTTCGGTAAGAGTTTCAGTAATTACTGTGCCTAATGCCTTTTAAGTCCCACTCCAAACCGAACAAGTTTTTAGAGAGAGTTATTTTGGCTGAGACAAAAAGAAAAAGTCGGACGTAGGCCAAGGCATTTTCGCAAAGCGCCATTAAGCCGGCGAGCACAAAGCGCAGTCGCTTATTATCAAAATGAAAGTGCAGAGAAGCATTTCCTCGATTAGACCGGTGGGGCGCGTGTGCATGCAGCGTGACCCTTTCCCATTTTTCCGGGCATAACGATTAGAGCGCCACTTACCGAAACTGCGGCTTTGGACTGTTGCTGCTGCTGTGGCGGCGACTGCTCGCTTTTGCTGCTCACTGCAACAGAACACAAAACGATTCTCGTTAATTATTTCCTACTTTCGTTGCTCTATCTTTTTGCACTGTCTTAACGAGCTTTTTGTCCGGTTACGTGAATGCATGCACGATGAAGTGAACTGTTCTATCAGATTATTCAAAGATGCACTGTCATTTAAGCAAGATTGTGTGACGTCAGGTGACGCTGATTTTCTTTTTCTTTTAGATATATAAATTTGAAATATCTAAGCAAATGAAGATGAGTTTCCAAAACAGAATGTAAGACTTTGCACAGAGTTTCTAATTAAACGAGAATATGTGAGAAAAACGCAATCACATAGTCTTCGTATCTTAGTTTGATATGCTAACGAACATGTAATGAACACGAGCGAGGTATATTTCCTCGACGTCTACACCATAAGTTAGTTTATAATATTCCATGCAGATGCTGGTATACGTGCAATCACGAATTGCACATACGCGTGTAATTGGAAGTTGTAAAGTACGCTCGAGTTCTGTTGCGTCGCGGCTGCAGCATTAGCTAATGACTGGTGTCGTTTCTCCGATTCAACATATAAACGAGACGGTAGCGCGGAGAAACGACTAATTGCCAAACTGTATGCGCATATTCGACGCAATTGGCTCGTTTGTGAGGTTATGACGAGAACTTGATTAATAAACACTTATTTTTCATGGAAAAGTTCGACGAGTTTTTACCGGATGGTTAACTAATTTTCTTGAAGTATAAGTATACATACATATCTCATTGACACAAACATTTTACTCATTAACAACCTACGTTGGTCAATAGTCATTAAATTCGGATTTAATTAATCTTTCTTTTTACCACATCATTTCTAGCTACCGACAGTTTAATTAATTTGATCACTATTTACAAAAGATAGTTGTAACGAACATGTAAATTTACTTTCACAAGTGATAAATTTCATTAAAAATGCACTTTTCTGGTCTCTAAAACAGAAAAGGAATTTTCTTCCCTGGAGATTGAATAATTTTTTCTTCTTCTCATTTGCAGTGTACAGTAGTGAAAAATTTTCATGAACATTAGAAAAGTTTGCGGGGACTAATTTTTATCGGCATTTTTAGATAATTGAACGTTAAGTGCTCAATAATATAAAAATACCAAAGAAAATTAATGAAATAAAATCTGGCTTATTTTCTAAAGAGCTTCATCTGATATTTACTTACAATAATTTTATAGACTAACATAGACAGTATAACCCAAAAAGTTGAATTTGATACTTTGCGTAATCAAAATTAGATTCAGATAGGTCAAAAATCATAAAAGTCGAACATTTAAGAACATTTTATAAATAACATCATTTCTTCTCATTTTAATTGATCTTTTAATCAACAACACCTACGTCAAAAAACCGTTAGTTTTGGTTATCCATGGTATCAAAGTAATGGGTTTTACTTCTACTATCCATACCACAATTTAGAATTGGTGAAAGTAGACAAAAATACTGATAAAAATAGTTCAATGAATTTTTCTAATGTTTACAAACATTTTTTTGTCATTATATAGAGTCTACAATTTTTATCGAAGAATCATTTTCTGCAATTTTAATAAATACTTAAAGAATAAATAATAATGGTTAAGGTGACTTAACAGTTTGGATTGTAGACATCTATGTCGAAGGCAATGATAGTTAGAATCTGCGGTGAAAATTTATGACTTTTTCCACAGAAAGATCATATGCTAACCATTAACACCTCAGCTTCGATAGTTTGGAACCCACAGAACATTATAAGTTCAGTACTTAGAGGATGACCATTACAATATGACTTAAAATGTCCAAATAACGTGGAATAATAAAACGATATAAAATGAAGCAAAAAGTAGAGATATTAAAAAATTGTAATGATAATTATTTGAATAGAATGTATAAATGCTACAGAAGTGAAGAAAAAATATATAATCTGAATGTTCTTTCTTGAAAACTTGATTGAATTGAAAAATAATTATGCAGTATGCTAGCATCATCGATGAATCTTTAAGTTATGTTTGTTACTACACAATTTATGTTGGAAATACTAGTCTGAACTCATGGTGAATTAAATGTGGTGTTTATAGCTTCAATTGAGCTTCGAACACCGCATTCGAAAAATGTTGGTAGACATTTGAGTATATAATAAGAGAGTAAATACACGAATATGCATATCTATGGTGAATTCGTTAATTGGTTAATTAGCTGTGACGCGTAGCCTGTAGAAAGCCAACTATCTAAATACAAGCATCGATCAATTACAGAATGATTGAATCGAAAAATTGTTAATCAAAATAACGGTAATTTCTAATTCATAGACATCATTATTGAATTATTATTGAAATTGTTAATAATCTGTAGGTAACGTAATTGCATTATTAGTATTTTATGAATATGCATCATAAAAAATGCATGCTTGTGTAGCATGTATAAAACCTCTAATCATTGTCATATATGCACCCTTATTGCATTGTTGTATTTCTGAATGGTATTGTTACGTTAGTTATTTAAATATTTAAAAGCGTATATATAAAGGCATTTTTAATAAACGCTATGGTCAACTATATTATATGTTCATTAAAATGAAATTACTGTGAAAGGATGAGATAGATAATTTTTAATTTTTGCGCAGATTAATAATTGACAGTGTTCAGTGAATTTTTTATCAGAATAGTTCGTCTATAAAAAAGAATAAAAAAGAGAAATGATCTAAAAATGCAATAACGAAAGATGTGAATTTAAAAGCACGCAGTAGACAAGAAGAGTGCAGAATGAAATTTCACTTCATATTTTCACGTGAAAAGGAGCCCGTGCGCACAAAAGAGGGGATTTCGTATTCGAACGTTCTCAGAAGCTGTATATGTGACTACACTAGGGAAGTTGAATTAATTAAAGGGGAAAATTTTTTTTAATTTGCAAAAGAAATTCTATATTGGATTATATGTCAGATAAATGCATAAATTTAAGACAATATGCTGAATACAGACAATCAACCACAAATGGAATTGCTAAGAACCCCCAACTTAATTCGAGGCTATGTGCAATAGACGGAATATTCATATCAGAATGTTGTAGTATGTGAATTGTTTGTTCGATCAGTTGTAGAGATCAAAAGTCAACTTATCCATAATGTATACAAATAAGTAGTAAAGGATAGTTAAATGAGAAGAGATACATTTGCGACGTTTATTAGTAATTCGTTAGGTAGAATACAGATATAATTATTTTTGGCTATATATTTGGCACGAGAATAACAAAGCGGTACGTGGCTCATTATGAAATCTCGACGTGTAGTCGGCGCATTAACGAAGGGATTTTGTCCCTTCTGGCCTCTTTGTCGCGTCGAACAACCTCAATTTCTTCGAGACAATAAGCAGGAAATTACTCGTGCAGCTTCCTCTCGGTTTTTCAATCAACAGTCATGCAGCGAGTTCGCGCTTCCGTGAGAGCCAACGCGAGACCCGGCAAAATAGCGATTTGTAAATTACAGGCGCCTGAGCTTAGCTTTTATTGGCCCACACGGCAAGTGATTGCTTTTAAAAGCTACACTCCCGATGTGCCGTGGTCAACGATTATCGTGGTTTTTGCTATACCCAGCAGTGTTTATACCAGTAATCGTGCAACCACTGTTCTTTTTGTTCATTTCACCCCCCCCCCCCCCCCCCCCCAATTCCATGAAGTAGTGATATAATCTAAATCGATGGTTATTGTGCCGTATTTACATATTTCACAATATTTTTCTTTACAATAATGTACAATATTATTGCTCTTTTTGTACATAAATACTTTACTTTTGTTTAGATTCTATATGTAGATATAAATATATCTACTCGTGAATTTCCTGTACCAGAACACATGGTGTGTACGGATTGTATTCAATTAGTCTGACGGTTTATCGATCTCTACTACTGAATTTTCATTAGATTTGTAATGTTTCTCTCAGCTTTTGTTTAAAGAAGTAATTGATCTGGAATTCATATATTGTTCGGTTATAAGTTAAATTGTCATTTTATAAAACTGCTTTATATTATAGATAAACACATTTTCTTTTTTTATAAATTTCAGTCATTATCGGTCGAGCTTCTGCAATCCTCGAGCAACAAATTTGATTACCTCGATCGGCAGCATCGTGATTCAATGCACGAGTTACAGGGCAATCAAATCGAATTCGGTAGTGAAAATTCCGAAAATTCGGAAAGCAAATTGGATCAGAATTGGAAATTCAGTTTGTACTCGAAGCCCGCTGAAACAGTTTTATTTATTCAAAGAAGCAAAAGAAAATAGCCAGCCTGAGTCGTTTGATTTTTCGCGTGTAGTGGCTTTCAGAACTGTAATCTAATAATATTTGTGCTATGTAATACGAGATTTTTAGAGGGTCACTTCCGCAGCTGTAAAGCAAAACTTGTAGACATTGCTACAGTTTAGTGAAATAAAATGTTATTTACCGTTATAAACTAACGTTCTATATTTGTTACACGTTGTCGACAGGTATAAATGTTTGGTAGGTGCTACAAGAATAACCAGCTTTGTTACATGGTAAGGCGCTTGAAAAATAATTCACGGAAATATCATATAAGAGAGCGACTGAGAAAAGCGCGTTTTATTTATCCGATGCAGCATTTTACTGCAGGCGAGCGTGAAGCCGTGTAGCCAAATTTGCTGCAGAAATATCGAAAGAAAAAAGAAATTTGTAGGAGAGCCAGGTACCGGCATTACAGTAAAGGCTCTTACCACCTTCCGCAATAATACAGAACCCTATACACGCACAACTTTTTCACGAGCATGTAAAGAGTAGTTCGTAATATATCTGCTCGTATCTGCTGACAATTTGAGGTATATGCTGTTGCTGACTTTTTCAAAATGTTTAAAATTATGAAGCTATAGGATTTTATTAATGTTTCAGTATACAAATTATATATTTTCTACTACTACCCTGATTATGTAAGCTTCATTTATCTATAATATTATTCATCCTCACATATTTAAAAATAATTTAAGACTAATGGAAAT